TTTTTGCTACCAAAGACTGGAAAGGCAATGGCTTTCAAGTGTGTATTTGGCAATGACACTTTTACAACCCTGACTCAATAATATTAGGGTTAAGAATGAATAATTCAAGTAGCGTCAGTTAATGAGATTTTAAAAAAGAAATCATGCAGGGGCTGGGGATTTAGCACAGCGGTAAAGCACCTGCCTGGCAAGCGCAAGGTCATGAGTTCAATTCCTGGTACCGGAAGAAAAGACAAAAAAAAAAAATCATGCAGATTATTAGAAGTTATTTGCACACTTGGATTCATCATTGACTATCATGGTGAAGATGTGGTTTTTCAGAGTAGATGCCACTTGTAGGGTTGTAGAAATAATAGTCTCTAATTTAGACAGTTTAATTCTCAATGTCATGGTTATCTTGTACAGTGATTGATCCTGGGGTTTTTTGGGTCTTTTTGCGTTCAGGCTGGCCTTGAACTCACTTTATAGCCCAGGTTGGCCTCAAACTCAGTGATGCTCCTGCTTCAGCCTCCCATGTGCTGTGATTATAGGCATGTACCACCACACCTGGCCTTTGATCTTGTTTTTGTGGCATCACCCATCACTTCTAGTTACTGACTCCCCAGTGTCTACCTGTAACCCCTGTAGCACTCTCATACTTTAATCCTGCCGCTTTAACCCATTGCTAAATACTTACGTTGATCATCTGTCATCTCAGAGTTACTATTTATCATGTACTATATTGAATAACAGTATGTGTGTATTATTGTGTTACCTTCCCAAGTAGACCAAGAAGTTTTTGTGTGAGGCCCATGACCCTTTGACCTCTGTACCTATCGTAGTGTTCTGTATGTAAGAGGAACTCAAATATATATGATTTCAGTAGTTTTAGTGACTAATACCTTTTGCCTTTTGGTAACTTCAGAAACCTAAAAATTGTCCAAAATTCAGATATACAGAGTGAGCTAGGCAGAACAAAACAACAACAAAAAGGTACTGCTTTGTACTTTATAAACATTGTTGTGGTTTATATCTAGATGTCCCTCCAAAGCCTCATGTACTCAAAGCTGGGGCTTTGGGGAAGTGATTGCATCATTGGGGGGCATGATACTCAGCAGTAGACTAATCCATTGACAAGTTTATAGCTAAATGTGATGTTGGGAAGTGAAGCCTGGTCGGAGGAGGTGGGCTACTGGGAGTGTAGCCTGGAAGGATCTATCTCTTTTCCTCCTTGCATCATCACTCTCTGCTTCCTGTGTGCTAACCCCTGAGCAGTTTTCCTCTATCATAGCCCTCTGCTATGGCACCCTGCCTTGGAGCCAGTCAGCTATGGACTGAAACCTACAAATGTGAGCCAAAATAAACCTTTCCCCTTTAAGTCGTGGGTGTTGGGCATTGTGGCTCAGTGGCAAATATGTAACTTAAGTGACAGATTTTGGTAGCAGAGAAATGGGGCCATTGCTATGACACTCCCTGACCATGTGGTTCAGAAACCTTTGGAGCTGGCTTACAGGAGGAGTTTGGAAAGTTTTGGAAATGCCACCTGGAGAAGCAGCCCTAGAATGCTGTGAGCCAACCTTGATGAGAGTTTCTCGTTGGAGCTTAGAGAACCAGAATGGTGACAGAAATGCAGTCAATAAAGACGAAGCTCAAGAGGTTTCAGTTGGGGATGACGCCATTGACATTTGGACTCCAGGTTATGTGCGTTCTGTTTTGGCACAATATTTATGTGCATTTTGCTTATGTCCTGAAACTTTATGGGAGACTGAGATTAAGAGCAGCAGACTAATTAATTTGATGGAGGAAATTTCAAGGCAGCTAAATATTCAGGCTGTGGCTTGGATGTTGATTGTTGGGAAGTTTAGCCAGCTCTACATTGAAAATTAAGATCCAGCAGCCCAGCAGAATGGTTTAAAAAGTTTTGAGTTGGCCAGAAAGGAGGCTTCTGAATAATTGGGGCCTGTAAAGGTGGAGCAGAGGAAAGCTTGGTTGCTAAAAAGATTAGACTTGAGAAGAGAGCCCCAGGGCATCAAGCTCCATAATGGTGGCAGCCTAGGGAATGGAAATTGATTCCCTGAGTTTCATTCACCATGTTCAGCCATGCAGGCACTCAGAGAGAGGCCTCTGCAACTATCAACAAGATAAAAAGGGCTCAGCTACTGCTCCAACTGACAGCAGAACTTGGTGTCATCCGTGTGGTACTCATTTTGCATGCATGCAGAGTGCAAGCAGTATGAGGTCAAGAAGGCTTTCTCTCAGATTTCAGAAGAAGACCTGGGAGGCTAGGCAGTGTGCCCCTGAGAGGGCAGTGTGAAGCTGTGAGAGTGAAGCTGAAAGTACAGTGGAGACCTCAGGGTGTTGAAAAAGCCAGGAACATGGACCCCGTGAGGAAGCTACAAGGAGTGATCAAACCTAGCTTGAGAGGAGCAATCACTGGTAATGCTGCAGGGGTGGGGTTGCCCAAGCCCCTTGGAGTTCACATCTCACCACAGATTGCCCCAAGTGCTGGATATGGAACTGTGGGATTTAATGTTTACCCTGCTGGATCCTGGTCTCGCTTTTTTAATTTCTTTCTATCCTCCTTTTTCTACTTTTTGTAATAGGAATGTTTACCCTGTGCCTTTATATGTCAGTAGTGTTTAACTTTCTTTACGTTTTTACAGGGGCTCCTAACTAAGAGTTTGCTTTAAATATCAAAGGAGGCTTTGGACTTGGATTTTTCAGTAATACTGACACTGTTAGGACTTTGGCAACTCGTAAAGATGGACTAAATACATTTTGCATAAACTAATGCTCATGAGTCTTTTGGGAGCCAGAGGGGGAATGTTACATTTTATATCTAAATGTCCCTCCAAATCCTCATGCTTTCATAGATGGGGCTTTTTGGAGGTGATTGGATCTTATAGACAGGATACTTATCTGTAGATTAGTCCACTGATCAGTTTATGGCTAGATGTGATGTTGGGAGGCTAGGTATGGTCTGAGGAGGTGAGTCATTGGGCATGACCTGGTCTATCTCCTTCCCTCCTCCCTTGATCTTTCTCTCAGCTTCTGGCCATCCTACCAAGAGTAGTTCCTCCTCTGCCATGCTCCTCAGCCATGCTGCCCTGCCTTGAGCCAGCTAACTATGGACTAAAACCTCTACAAACGGTGAGCCAAAATAAACCTTACCTACTTACAGTTGTGGATGTAAGGTATTGTGTCTCAATGATGAGAAAGTAACTAAGACAAACATGGAAGCTGTATCTTTGAAAGTTGTTAAGTGCTCCTTTAGAAGAAAAGATTTTATCTTGTAATTAATACCTGAAGTACATTTATTTAGATTACAATCTATTCTAACTTTTGGAGCTGATGGCAATTATCTTAGTTACTTTTGTCTTGTTGCTGAAACAAAATACCGACACCCTAAATGAAAGGAGGAAAGGTTTATTTAGCTCACAATTTGTAGAGATTTCAGTCCATAATCAGCTGGTTCCAAGGGAGGGTGGCACATGGCAGGGGGCAACCATTCATGGAGGCAGAAGACACCAAAAGCAAGAATAGAGGAGAGGGCTAAGACTGTTCCTTACATTGTATGAGGCAACTTGCCCTGATGCAGGTGTAGCAGTCAAACCCTTAATCCCAGCATTAAATTATGAGTCAGTCACAAACTCTAGATTCAGCCGCGTCTGAAAAGCCTGTCCCGGATGACTGCAGGAGGCTTTGGAGACATATAGACACAAACCATAACAATTATGCTCCTCTCTTTAAATGTGGTTGTAGATTCACAGGTATTTGCGTATGTCCAAAGACATCAACTTTCAAACATTAAATATGTTGTTTTTTGGTTATCAGGTATATATCAATTAAGCTTTTAAAAATGAAATCCACTCCTTTTTTAGTAGGCAGTATAAAATGGCATGTATTGGTGTTTGTCTCATTTTGAACTGATTTGATTTTCTGTGTTAGGCTTGTTTTTATTTCCTTTTTGTCTACAATTTCTATTCTGTTCTCACTTTCTTTTATAATCTTCTGATCTTTGAAGTATCTTATATCAACAGTATATTTTGTTATTTTAATTGTCTTGAGGTTAATATGAACTTGAAGGCAAGAACCACAATTTATTTGTCTTTACATTGGCAGTATGTCTAGCACAGTGGCAAAAAGCCAGTTAATGGAGTATCCCTCAAGTCTCCCGAGATAAGAGTCCAGTACTTCTTTGTCATTATGCTCTGTGGGTCCTGATAACATTGGCACTATAAATTAAAAACCTTATAACAATTGTCCTTTAAGTAGAATTTTAACAAATCTTGATTTTAATTCAGCATGGTGGTACATGCCTCTAATCCTAGCTCTCTGGGAAGCTGAGGCAGGAAAGACACAAATTCTAGCCTACACTAGGCATCTTAGTGACTTAGTGAGACCCTGTTTCAAAAATAAATCAGACACTGCAAGGATTTCTTATAGGGAAAACACAAAATATAAATAAAGAGCAAAATAAAAGATAGATAATAAGATGTAGGGAGACAGATTTTGTTCAAATGGAAAAGGGATCAAGAGGTGGAGGGAAGACAGAAGGAGGGGAGGGAAAGGGTATAAAAAAAGAATTGAGGTATGTTGTGAACATGTACCAAGTTCCCACAAGGAATGTAATCAGTATGTAATGCAATGTGTACTAATAAAAAAAAAAAAAAACTTTTAAAAAAGGGAGCTGGGGATGTAAGTCAGTGCCAAAGCTCTGGGTTCCAATCCCCAGGACTGCAAAATGTCTTGAGTTTTATTTTAAGCTTTTAGAAAACATCTTTTATTGAACAAATGAATATATATGAAGGATATATTGATGCTGCTTTATGTATAAAATAGGGATGGGTCAGAATTAATATTGTCTGGTTCTGTATTTGCCATTAGTTTTTTTTAAATTGCTATTTTATATTACAGGAACTTTTTAAGCAATGTGTGAAGTGTACTGTATTGTGATATTCAAAATATATTTTTAAAAGTTTTGCTTTCCCTACCCTTTTTGTTCTTATTTTTTTATAAAGTTACCAGGCAGTGACATTGCCAGTGGGAGTGATGTACTTTCTGATGTCATACCAAGTATACCAAGTTCCCCTTGCCTGCTTCCTAAAAAGAAAAATAAGCACCAGAATTTAGATGAGCTTCCTTGGAGTGCAATGACAAATGATGAGCAGGTAAAGATATCTACATTCTTAATTAAAAGCATCTAGATGGAGGCTGAGGATGTAGCTCAGTGGTAGAGCCTAGCATGTACAAAGCCCTGCATTTGATCCCCAGCACCCTCTCCAACAAAAAAGGAATGTGTGGAGAATTTGCGAAGCGTGTTTTATTACCTGTTTAAATCTACTGAGTAAATGTGGATTGCTTAGTATTCTGAACTTGAGCTTTAACTGTTTTTCAGAAAGCAGATAACAATGTTAAATGCTTCTGATAAATAAAACACATTGTAATTTACATACTAAAAGAGTAGAGATTTTAGTATTGATGTTTTTGTTACAATTTTTCATCACGTAGGTGGAATATATTGAGTATCTGAGTCGTAAAGTCAGTACTGAGATGGGTCTTCGGGAGCAACTTGATATTATTAAAATCATTGATCCTTCTGCTCAGATCTCCCCTACAGACAGTGAGTTTATTATTGAACTTAACTGTCTCACAGATGAAAAGCTGAAGCAGGTATGTAAAGTAAATACAGAGTGTATACCTACTGAAAATTGTCAGTATCTTATAAAATGTAAACTTGAATGACATGTACATACATAGAGAATTAGAGTAAAATCACTGTTGTGAAATATAATGTTTGAAAAAATGATGATGGGCCTGGGAATGTAACTCAGTGGTAGATCATTTACTTAACATTCATGAGGCCCTAGGTTTGCCTACTAACACCACAAAAAGTGGGGAGGGACGCAGGGAGGGAGGGAAGGAGGAAAGGGAAAGGAAAGGGAAAGGGAAAGGGCAAAGGAAGGGAAAGGGGAAGGGAAGGGAAAGGGAAAGGGAACGGGAACGGGAAAGTGAAGGAGAAGGGAGGGGGAAGGGAAAGGGAAGGGAAAGGGAAAGGGAACAGGAAAGGGAAGGAGAAGGGAGGGGGAAGGGAAAGGGAAGGGAAAGGGAACGGGGAAGGGAAGGAGAAGGGAAGGGAAAGGGAACGGGAACGGGAAAG